CTACCACTTGAGCCACAGCGCCACTTCCAGCTTTTTTCTTTTTGCTTATGTGGTGCTGAGGCATCGAATCCAGGGCCTCATGCATGCAAGGCAAGCGCTCTACCACTGAGCCATCTTCCCAGCACCTCTTGCTAGTCTTTTTAATGAACCAGAACCATTTCACAATTCTATCTGGGTACATGTCTCAGACAAAGTTTGTATAATAATTCCAACTACGTAAATTTAACAGATCTTCACATGCCCAGAAACATAAATTACCAAATCTGGAAGACCATATATAGAATGTTAATAATGGCTGTGAGCATTTAGTATAATTGAGTGATGTAAATATTTCTTAAATAATTTTGCTTTCTTACTTTTTATGCTACAGACTAAGGGTATTGTTACTTCTTGATAGAAAAAGGACAAAAAAGGAAAAAGTCACTTTAGAAAGCCTTTTTTCCCTTTTGGCTTTGTCATTTTATAAAGTATTATTATCATTTTTTCCTCATTCTTTTGAAAAAAGACATTGAATTTTATCACATGTTATTGATACTGACATGAACTGAACTTTTTGTGGAAGCTTTTTCTTTTACATTCTTATTGAAACTACGTTTTTTCAACAATCCCCCTCTCCCCCAAATTTTTTTAAATACTAAAAGTATGTTTCCATGGTGTTAATAGTTTGAAATGTCCCCAAAGGTTCACGAGTTGAATGCCTGGCTCCCAGTGGTGATGCTATTTGGAGAGAGAAAAGGACCTGGTCCCTTCCTCTCCGCTTCCTATCTTCCAAGAGGGGAAGGATCTCCTCTGCAACATCATCCCAACAGCAATGATGTTCTTCCGCCCAGGGCACATGGTGCCAAAGAACCCTGCACTGAACCCTCTGGGACTTTGAGTCAAAATAAACCTTTTCTCCTTGGAGTTGCTTCTGTCATATATTTCTTTGTCACAGCAACTAAGTAATACAGAAAAATTAAGTTTCACAATGGACTACTACCGATCTCTACCACACACAACGGGGGCCCCCAATTAGCTCTTAATTCTCTCTTAAGGAAGTCCTTCTTGTGACCTCTTGCTGCTATCAACCATCTGTCCTCCTTTCCCAGAGGTATGACTTGTGTTCTCTTTGTTCCTTCTTGTCACCTCACTAATTGCAGCCATCCAAAAGAGAAGCAGCTATTTCCTCAAAGTGAAGAAAACCTGGCTTCGTATACAACAATACTGTAGGTAAGCTATACACTTGTACCTGTCACTTCTTAGTCTTTATGTGTAGGGGAGACTAAGGTTAATAGCAATTAGGCATAGACATATTGGAGATATTGGAAAGCACCAGGAGATGCTTGTGAGACTTATCTTCTTCAAGCTTATACTCCCAGTTTAACCTAATGCATGGCACAGTCAGCATGAAGGTGTTTGGTGATTGAGTAAGTGATAATTTTCCTTTGCTCCTTTCCTTTTTCATGCTTTGTTTTTTGCTCCTATATCCTAATGTCTATTTTATGACCATTAAGTAACACCCAGAAAATTTCCATTTTGTTGCTCTGGCAGAAGTCAGCCATTCTCTTTTGTTTCAAGTGTAATGTATTGTTATTGTAGAGGTGATGTACAGAGGGATTACAGTTACATAAGTCAGGTAATGAGAACATTTGTTTTTGAACCATGTCACTCCTTCCCTCATTCCCAGTTTTTCCCCTCTCACCCCCCGCCCCTCGCCAAGTTGTACAGTTCATTTTCCAGTGTCTAGTGAATACCACTACTATATTTGTTCACATTTTGTCCACATTTTCCGTGACCCACTAACCCTCCCAAACACAAATAATCTAACAAATAAGACAAAAGGAAAAGATAACAAAAGCAGCATTTTTCAAAATCAACTCTAAGAAATGAAAACAAGAGATTTTATTTTGTTGTTGTGGGTTTTGTTGTCTTTTCTTTTTGTCATGTTTGTCTACCTCTCCCTTTCCTCCAGAAATTCCTAGCTGGGATGTCTTGTCTTATTTTGCTCACTTTTTCTTTTTTTTTTTCAAATTCTTTATTGTGATTAAATGATTACATAATTTCTCAAATTTCACAGTATTGTGGGATAGTGATGCTTAGTTAAAAGACACAAACACATTCTAACTTTCATGGGGCAAATTGTCTATTGTGGTCTATAACATTTATGAGTTCTATGAGCTTTGCAATACAGTTATATCTTCCACATTGGGTGATATGTACATTTCTTTTGTTTTGCATAGCATCAGCTGTTCCCTCTTTCCCACTTGTTCCCTCCCTCCCATGGCTGCCATTGAGTTGCTTAGTTCATTTTGATCAATGTCTAGTGCTTTTGCTCACTTTTTCTTCTCCTAAATGGCAGCCACAGGCCTAAAGAAAATAACTCTTTCGCCTCCATCATTCTTTTCCAACTCCCATTGAAGCCAGATTCTTTGTGTCTGGAGGAAATTCACAAAAAAAAAAATGGTTCCCTCACAAATCTGATGTAGATTCTACAGTCAAATGACTGAGACAATGTAAAGAAGAACATTTAAATTTCCCAAAATACTGTAAGAAAGGATGAAAAACAAACTCAGATTATAACTTTTAACCTTGTCAAAGGCTTATATCAAAAATACTTTTCTTAAAATAAGACAAGATTTTTAAACAAGTGTTTTATTGCTAAAATTATGGCCTAACAAACTAAATGTTTCCAAAGAATCAAGCTGTATTTTCACACTTTCATATCATCAAAACTGTTTTAAATATGGTTAAGTTCCTAAAAAAAAGAACATTTGGAATTAAGTGTAAGTAACTTCTTGAGAAAATAATATCATTCTGATTATAGTAAATGGTTTCCCACCTAATATATTTCAAATGAAGTTTAAAGAGAAGAAACATTATTCAAAGAGTTTATCCTCAATATTTAGCACTTCATATTTAAGATTATTTAGTTAAATACACGAAACTACTTATATAGTAATTCCTGGATGAAAAAATTAATTCTACACTAATGTCATTATTTTCTTAAACATACATCTGAGCCAGGAGCTGTGGTTCACACTTGTAATTTCAGCACTCAATAGGCTCAGGCAGGAGGATCGTGAGTTTAAGACCAGTCTGGGCTGTAGAGCAAAACTCTTCCAAAACAAAAAAAAATACTACATTTATGTTTCGGACATAATCATATATTTAACTACTGCCCAACTGTTCCTTTTTACTTCTTTGCTTTACTTTCCTTGTGCCAAGGGCATTTATCCATTCTGATTTGCAAAACCTCTTGTCTTCCAAGGCTCCTCATAAAGGTTTTAGGACAAGGAACTCTGGGCTAGAAGTCAGGAATCCTGAGTATTAGCTCAGCCTCCTTTATAGTAGAAACTTTAGTAGGCCATTTAATATCCCCAGAATTTGTTAACTTATCTAAAAAAAATGAAGGTATTTAAGCTAGGTAATTCCTTCACTAGCAGACAAGCAGAGCAAGTTGAAATCTGGGTTAGGGGTGTACCACTGGAACACTGACCTTTGCCCAAGACTAGGGACACTGCCAAGTGTGGTGGTATTGTTCTGCACCAGTTACTTTGTCTAGTAAGGAGGACTGAAAATCCAGTTTCCAGAACAGTGAGATCAAGGGAGCCAGAGAGTAATATATATATAAAGACTTCCATGAAGATATAAAAGGGAATTTTTCATACTGAACAGGAATGCCAATGTACTTAGTATTGTGGCCCGAACTCACAAACATCCATGTGGAAAAACTGGAAAAATCTAGAAAGAATAGATGTCATTCATAAGGGCACAGCAAGAACTTTTCTTTTGAAATGCTGTCAAACAGGTAAATGTCAACACTGTAAAACATTATGTAATTTCAATCGATTGGTGACTTTTGCTTTTGAAAAAGCTGCCTTTACTCTTTTCACAAACCTCCTTATTTTTCCAGTAACTAACCCCATCTTCTGGACTTTATAGAATTACAGCAGCTTATATCAATGATTAACTGACCAGGTTTAGCACCCTTACATAGTGATCATTAGAGGAATCACTATTTGTGTATTCCTCAAGTGTATTTCTATCTTCAAATCTCACTTTTACTTTAAAATTCTAAGTCTAGGCTACGAAATGAACAACCAACTTTTTCTGAATAAATTCATTCTGCCATCACACCTCAACAGCACAAAAAAGTAATTATTTATTAGATGAAAAAAATTAACTATTTTATAAACTTTGAATGCCTACAGTTATAGGTTCATTTTATGGTTGAACTGATTATACTAACCTTTTTGTTTCCCCATTCACTTTTGTTACTAGGACTCTGCAGTTAAATGCAAGGCAAAAGACTGGGCCATGGTTTATCAGGCACTCTCTTAGTATGAAAGAAATCATACAATAGGATAATAATGACTAGTAGTCACATGAGGACAACCTGAACTAAGTTCCAAGAAAACTCAGTCTGAATGGTCAGGATATTTTTAGCCCTACATATGCTTTGTGATATAACATTAACAACAACAACAATAACAAACAAGGGATAGATAACTCTGTATTGTTTAGAAGAAACCATATACTAACTGCCTAAACACAACCTTTACAATCTACTCTGTGTATTAATATTTCCTAATACCCTCAACATTTTGTGAGTAGCTGTAATAGTAAAATGTATTTGGAACTTTAACAACAAAAAAAGGAATTGCTACCTCATGTCTCTTCAAAGTGTAATATGCTGCTGAACTGGGACAGCTTATATAGCTTCTGTAGGGCAGGTGAAAACATTGCTCTCCTAAAAACATGCAGTGAGAAGAGTGGACACTCAAAGAACACGAGCTACAGTGTGCAGATGGAAAAGCTAGTAAATGCACATTTGCTTATATAGAACAAGAAGCTTTAGAAAGCACACAAACACCTAGGAGACAAGAAAAAAACAAAACAACTTACCTAAGAAAAACAGCAGCCATGGCAAATTCAAAATTATTAGTGATTAGCATAAAAGAGCAAAACAAAATATGACAACAGCAAATGATAAGAGAAGAAGTCCAGAGCATGTCACTTACAGGAGTTCTTCTCCAGGGTGTTTGGGTGTACTTATCAGCATATGTACATTTTTCGCCTTTAGAGTTCTGGTGACAGTTACAACGAGTTGCCTGAAAAAAAAAACACAATTTTTATATTGGTTTAATTCTATACATACACCTTACAAGTTTAGAGGCTCTACCTAAGGTTAAAAACCAAATCAACACCAACAAAATCACACTGCCAATACATTTCTGGCTACTTTCTTGCAACAAACCGCAAGGTCTTTCAGTTGTGTACCATCTTATTCAGAGTCCTGGTCAAACATAAGCCACTAAAAGTAGCATTTCAAGTAGACCAAACTGTCCTGATAAATCTCCTCAACTCTCCATAAAACACATGATATGTGATTGTGTATGTAAATGTAAACAATATAACATGTATTATAATACTGTAATGTAATATTGTATACAATATTAAACGTACACAATATTAACTATTATTATATTAAGTAGAATATATTTGCCATATACAGCATATTAAGAATACAACTGTGAAATTTATATTATCTCTCTAAACTGTTATGATTCTATAATCACCGTTTCTTAAATGCATTTTTGATGGAGTTCTACTGATATTAAAATAGGAACAGGTCGACTGGGTATTAAATATGAACAATATTAAGAGATCAAGTGATCCACATGTGCAGTGCTATGAAGCCTCTAGAACAACATGCTGATTACTGGACTGGAATATTTTGAAAAGTCTCCCTGTGACAAAAACCCATCTAACCATCTCAATTCACAAGCATGTTTGCTATCCAAGAATTCACTGAAAGGACAATCATCTAGATGATGCAATATACATAGTACATAAACTTAGGTCTCTTATAGAATCATAAAATTCAAGCCCAGAATGAAAAGCCAATGACAGTTCTACCTTAGTATAAAGATGGAACATAACCATATTATTCGTTAAATAATCCTACTAAAAGTAAATATAGTCTCTCATAGGAAAAAATTTAAGAGATTCTAAATTACTACATCAACTTAGATGTTTCTATTTTTAAAATCATGTAAAAAAACTAATTGCAAGAGAAACATTTGAATTTCCTTATATAAGATAATCAATTAAAAAAATCTCAGTAGTACATACCCAACAAACAAAAAATGACTCAGTAGTGTGTGTGTATATATATATATATATATATATATACTAATTTATATACTAAACAAACAAAAAATGACTACCCAAGTAATTCCCTCTCCATTTGTTTTCTTTATTACTCACAGATTTTGTGTTTGGATTTTCATTTTCTGAATAGTCCCATATTCAGAGAAATATATGTTATCTCCAACAAGCCATGTCTTGCTAACACAGATGCACCAAGACAATCTTACTCCTCTCTGCTTAGGAAAGGACAAGTAACTCAAATCTAGCCAATAAAAGGTAAGAAAAGTCTGGGATATTTCTGAGAAATTGTTCCTTGATTTTAAAAATAGATAAGCTAGAGAAAACAAGTCTTTACCACAAACTGGGTGCCAGAGTGACACAAAGAACTATGGGAGACATGATGTAATCATGAAGGAGCAGCAAAGAAGGCTTAAAGAAAAACAAAACAAAACAAAAACAAACAGCTTCTATTTTCTCTTTCCAAATGACCAATAAGTGACTATGGAAAGTGATGGGACCCACAGTTTCTTGTTACTTGAGTTCACAAACATTCTTTTTTGTTTTGTTTTCTGACAAGGTCTCCTTGTGAGGCTGAAGCAGGCCTTGAACTCTCAATCCTTTTGCCTCCATCTTCCAAGTACTGGGATTACAAGCCTATACACGTATAAAGGCTGGTTCTTGTTTTCTTAAAGCCACTTTTAATGAGCGACTTCTACTTGGAACTCAAAACACCACCAGATATACACTGATTTATACTGAGTGGTTTTGGACAAGTCATTTACCTACAGCTGCTATTTATCACAGGCACAATAGGTATTAAATAGTTTAATTTGTATTTTGTTTAATTATCACAAGCTTATGTAGTCAATACTGTTCTTATTAACAACACTTACAAGAGATGCTTAGGAGAAATTATATAACATTACCCAAAACAAACAAACAACAACAAAACAACACAGTTATTGAATTTCTAAGACAGGATGTTATTCAAGGTATGACATGGTTTTCAAATGGCATTGCTACCTGCTTAACCTGTGCTCTACTTCATATTTTCATAAAGAAATTCTACACTAGCAAACTCACAAGTTTATTCTGAGAAGTCAATCAGAAAATATATCTAAATTAACTATTACCCAACTAGTATTCTTGGCACTATGAGGCTTATATGGCCAAATCTCTATAGTTTTCTGCTACATTGTCAGAGCACTGAGATTAAACTTTACATTGTCACTTTATTTTTCTTGCAGTTTTCATGCAAATATAAATTAGAGCTGAAGACATTTTTACAGTCATATAAAATACTTTAATGTTATTTTATTGTATTCTTACTCTCATTTATCATAGTTTTAAAATTAAAAATAGAAATCTGACCTTCAATGCAATGGGTGAAATAAAAACTAAAAAGTTCCCATTTTAGATCATGTTTACTTAGGGACTGATTTGAACTAACAATAATAAGATTAAAATAATGATATATTTACTAAAATTGTAAGTTACTGAAACCTTGGATGTCAAGTATTGTTCTATCAAATTACAGAGTATGTGTTGCCATCATTATCTTCATTTTACAGATAAGGGATTTGAAATACAGGGGACTGAAGTAACGTATACAGTATTGTTACAAAAGATAAAAGGAGACACAGTTTTAGAATGTGAACCTAAGTTGAATTTTACAAATATTTATTTTAGCTGAATGGGTCATAGTCTTGCCATAAATACTTTGTATTTGTCCTTAAAAAGGAGAATTACAAATGTTCTTTGAATAATATTAATAGTTTACTTGAAATAGTCCAAAGCCCTCAACAACAATCAAGGACATCTAAGAATGAACACATCTTAGAAATGTGACAAAAGACACCTTCCCAGTACAGCATTTGAGAATATTCTGGAATTTATGATGCTCAAAGAAGAGAAAAGCTAGAGAAGGTCATAGGAAGACAGATTGTATGGGCATTCAAATTTAGGAATAAATGGAGATGTATTTTTAGTAAACATAAAAAAGCATCGTAGAAGCCAGGAGGAGGAACAGAGTAAGTGGGAAATGGAACAACATAAAACAAAGGGGCATATCAGCTGCACTGGACATAGAAGAAAAAGATCTAAGCAATCCAAAGACAGCAATGGGAAGGAGGAATGACAGGGAAAGAGAGAACAGCCTACACTAAGCAAAAGGAAAGAAATGTAATCATCACCTGATGTGCAAGAAATAATCTGTATTGTCAAAGCTCATAGAATTCACAAACTTTATAGACCATGATAATGAAAATTTGTCTTGTGAAGGTTAAAATGTTTTGTGACTTTAACTAAATATCACTATTCCACAATACTGTGAAATATGTGAAATTTATATAATCGCCTAATCCCAGTTTTTTAAAAAAAAGTGAGAGAAGGGATGGTTTAGGAGTGATGGGTGACAATGTTGTCAGACATCTTATACTCATATACTGTTTTTGTAGAATCGAAACTTCTTTGTACAACTACTTAAAGATAAAGTAATAAAAATGTAAAAAACAAAACTACAGGCTTAGGAAGGTTGAGCTATACAGGGAAAATGGTTTACACTAATTTATTCTTTTTTTCCCCTGGGCAATTAGCACTCAATGGCTTGCAGGCCTTTTGCACTGTTGAATAATTAATACTTTGAGTACTCGAATAGAACATAAATGTATTGTCTGTCCTTACTCATTGAGATGTGGGTTCATCTCAAGGATTTTAAATGGGGAAAAAAAATCACACTTGACCTACCACTGCCTACCAGAACAGGAAAAAAAAAAAAAAAAGAGCTTTATACCCTAAGAGCACAACTCAACTTGGCTTTAATGAGATGAATGTGATATTTAATCTTTGATCCTAGCCAGGCACTGATGGCTCATGCCTGTCATCCCAGCTACTCAGGAGGCTGAGATCTGAGGGATCACGGTTCAAAGGCAGCCCCGGTAGCAAAGTTTGTGAGACTCGTATCTCCAATGAACCACCAAAAAAGCCAAAAGGGAAGGTATAATTCAAGTGGTAGATCACCAGTCTTGAGCAAAATAGATAATCAAGAACATGACACTCTGAGTTCAAGATCTATTATCAACACCAAGAAAAAAAATAATTGGTTATGATATTGGTAAGTCAGTAATGACTGGCAATGAAATGCAAGGTATCAAATGACTAGATTGTGTAAAGTGATTGCTGAAGTGCAAACCCAATCCCAATGAACTTTTAATTTACCATGTATCTTTTTAATTTACCACATACAAGTAACAGGAACAAGTATTTCTTTTTCTGTAATATTCACTGGAATATTGCTACTCTAAGTATTCTTTAAACTGGTTACAGTCAAAGACAAAACAGAGCTTAAGAGCTCCAGCAAACATCAACCCAGTTCTTCCTTAAAAGAAGGTTTAGCGATGCAAAAGTCAGCTGAAGTCGGGCACCAGTAGCTCATGCCTGTAACCCCAGCTACTCAGGAGGCTGAGATCTGAGGATTGAGTTTCAAGGCCAGCCCAGACAGGGAAGTCCGTGAGACTTTTATCTCTAATAAACTACTCAGAACAATATGGCTCAAGTGGTAAGAGTGCTAGCTTTGACCACAAAGAGGTTTGGGGACAGTGCCCAGGACCTGAGTTCAAGCCACAGGACTCACACACACTCACAAAAAAAAAAGTCAACTGATCTTAAATAGGTAATGGAATCTGCCTATGTCATTCAGCTGATTAATACTGAAGACAAGAAAGTCTTCTGGTGACTTTTTTCCTGTTTAAGTAGTTTAGAGAGATAAACTTTATATAGAAGGGCAATTTAATTTTGATAATGCAAAAACTGCTGTTACCTATCTATACTTTCAAGGCTTATATCCTTCAACTTTCTTCATTTGATCAAATGACTTTCTAGAGTTCTACAAGTAAACTTTATACTACTGCAATCTTTCTAATTGACTTCATTTGTCAGTGTTGAGAGTATGGAACCCCAGGATTTGTACATACTGGGCAAGCACTCAAATACTATATATAGCCCCAGCCCTTGGTTTTATAACAAGGTTCTTGCTATGTAGCCCACACTGGCCTTCGAACTCACAATCCCACTGCCTCTGCCTCCTAAGTACTGGAATTATAGGTGTGCAATAACATAGTTGGCTCTGAATGACTCCTAATTCCTTAGCTTTAAAAGTGAGGTAAAGTGGGAAGAAGGAAAGAAGGAAGAAATTTGTAAAGCACGGGCTATTTCCTTTATAGAGCAGCATTGTTTACAATCCTCTAAATTTAAGTAGAAAAAATTATACTAACATTGTTTTTAGATTCAAGAACAGGGTTATGATTTAGATACAAAGTGATCCCTACATGCTCATATATTGAAGGCTCAATCCTCAGCTAGTAGTGCTATTTTAGCGAGGTTGTAGGAGTGGGAAGTAGATCTAACTCTCAAGAAAGTAAGTGACAGAGTACATGACCTTGGGAGCTATATCTTGTCCTTACTTTCTTTTTGCCTGCTATGACGTATTTTCAGCCACATGCTCCTACCACCATGATGTTGTATCACCAGGCTCAAAAGGGTCAGGGCTATGGACTTACATTTCTGGATGTGGGAACAAAAATAAATCTTCATACCATAAGTTGTCAGGAAGTTTGTTACAGTGATTAAGTGCGTTATAGTCTAAGACAGACTTAGTCTGACAGGAACTGACGTTAAGTTTCATACAGTTCTTTTATTAAAAGCCATAATTCTGTACCATTTAAAAAAATTGGTATGATTATGATACACATATAAAGGAAGTTTCTAGCTGAATGCAATGTAGCCTCTAGAGCAATCTACAGAAAAATTATGCATACTGGTAAGCCCTTTTACAATAAATGTGACTTATAGGTTTAATATCAGAAATATTATATCCTCCAATATGGAGGATTTCAGGTACATAACTCTATAGAGTAATACTTTCATTTATCTTGTATTTTTTTCTTTTTGGGGGAGGGTGGGAATCTGTTACATACTTCTGATTTTTTTTAAATATATTTCAGCATGAAGCATGAGATGTTGCTCAGGATCACTGACAATCTTTTCAACAAGTTAGTACCAAACTAAAAAAAAAATGAAAGATTCTTAACTAAAAGAAACATAAGAGTCAGGTATAACTGCTATCATACAAAATCCTAAATTGGCCGGGCGCTGGTGGCTCACGCCTGTAATCCTAGCTACTCAGGAGGCTGAGATCTGAGGATCGTGGTTCAAAGCCAGCCCGGGCAGGAGAGACCTTGAGACTCCTATCTCCAATAAACCACCAGAAAACCGGAAGTGGCGCTGTAGCTCAAGTGGTAGAGCGCTCGCCTTGAGCTGAAGAGCTGAGGG